GATCCAATTGGGTCAAATGGCAAAATATACATATGTTATATGTGTGGATAATAATCCCGGTTAAAGGAGTTCTCTTGACGTGATGTCGGATTGGGCGACAATCATGGGTATTTCCACAGGTTGACAGATGATCAATGATTGACAAAAGACCCTTGATTTTAGGGGAGTCACATGTACAGCGGTGGCGTCAATAAGGAGGTCAATTCGTGACAGCGGGTAGTTGTCATTAGGGCACGCCTTGTTGAGCTCGATAAAGTCGATACAGAGGCTCCACTTCACATTGGCTTTGGTCACCATCACCACATTTGATAGCTACACGGGATATGCTACTTCTTTGACTACCCCGTTTTCAATCAACTTCCCCACCTCCTTATCCATCACTTGAGCCTTTTCAGTGGAAGCGCTCTATAGCTTTTGGCGAACAAGCTTGTAATGAGGCTCGACGTTGAGGCGGTGTGTGGCAACCTCAGGGTCAATGCCCACGAGGTCTTCATGTAACCATGCAAAAACTTCCATATTATGTTTCAAAAAATCTGTAAGTTAGTGGGCTAGATTCTCAGGAAGAGAGGAGCCAATATAGACTCTTATGTCTGTATGCTCCTCATCTAGGACCACTGGTGTGAGCTCCTCTACTGATTTTCCTTTCTTTAATGTGGCATCATCCCTCAGGTCGAAGACCTCAACTTGTAGAGCCTTTTATGGCCTTCTGGTCTTCATGGAGGAGACGTAGCATTCTTTTTTAGCTACCTAATCTCCTCAGACCTCTCTGATTCCATTCGGGGTTAAAAAACAGAGTATGAAATAGTAAGTGGAGGGCATCGCTCTTAGGGTGTTGAGAACGAGTCACTCTAGGATGATGTTGTAAGCCGATAGGCAGTCTATCACCAGAAAAGTTAACCATGATTATGAAGCTCCGGGGTGCTGCACCGGCGGTGACTGGTAAGGTGATGGATCCTAGGAGATACATCTTCTCCCCCGAGAATCTAATAAGAGACGATCTGATGGGCTGCAGTCTTTCTCTCCCCTAATTGAGCTTGTCATAGGCTTCTATGAACAAGATGTCCGCAGAGCTGCCATTATCCACAAGAATCCTTCATACTTGGAAGTTAGTGATGGTCATAGTAAGTATCAAAGGGTTTTTGTGGGGGTGTTGGATTCCTTCTAAGTCCTTCTCTGAGAAGGATATGACCTTGTTGTTTCCATGCTTAGGCGCCTTGGACGGGCGTAAATCATCGACGTGCCTAGCCTTTTTGGCATGAGCCATCATGGCTGAGAGGGATTCTCTTCCTCTAGCGAGCCTTCCAGAAATGGTGTGAATTTCTTCGATGGGTTGTTGGTCCTCCTGATTATGAGGTAATAGCGGTGCCTGATCCCTACCAACAACATATTGGTGTAGGTGACCACGTTACATGAACTCCTTATTTTTGTCTCTTAAGGTCAAAGCAATCGTCGGTGTCCTGACTGTGGTCGTGATGGAAACAACAATATTTGTTCGGGTTCCTGCAATTTAGGGGAAATTTCATTCTCCTTGGCCACTTTATTATGGGGTTATTTTAGATTTGGAATAGGATGTGCCTTACAGTGGCATTGAGGTAGAGTGAAGGTTTGTTGATCTCTCTGAGGGGCAGGGCCAAGCCGGTCTTTGGCAGGTACCCTCTTTGTTCTGCTGCGCTTGTTTCCACTCTCCTTCTTATTGTCCCTATTTCTTTCCTTTCTCTTCTCCCCTGTTCTGGAGGACTCACATCGTCTTACCCTTTTGATGTCCTCAGCATTCATGTATTTCTAAGTTTTTGTCAGTAGCTCTAGCATACTTTTTGGTGGGTGCTTCATTGCTGAAAAAAGGAAACTTGATGACTGGAGACCTCCTAAGAAGGCAGTCATGATGACCTTGTTATAGGGCTCCTCAATCTGGAGGATCTTCTTGTAAAAACGATTGAGGTAACTCCTCAGGCTCTCGTCTCGATCCTATTTTATGTTGAGCAGGTGGGTGGCAGGCTTCTGCCAATGGCGTCCTCCAATGAAGTGCGACACAAAGGACTTGCTTAGTTCGGCGAAGGAGCCAATGGAGGCTGTGGAGAGCTTAGCAAACTATTGTCGGGCTGATTCCTTCAAAGTAGTTAGGAATGCTCTATAGATGATTTCGTCGGGGACATTGTGAAGTTGCATTAAAGTCTTATAAGTTTCAAAGTGATCAAGTGGGTCTTTGGTATCGTCAAAGATTTTGATGGATGACATTTTGAATTTTTAGGGAAGAGGGTAGTTTGCCACGTTTGGCACGAAAGACGTGTTAGTTCGCCTAATGAGGTATTCCACTTGTTTCGGGTTCTTGTACTTTCATGGCGTTGAAGACGTCATCGAGATGGCTTCTATGCTACATGCTTTGGTTTTACCCTCATTCTTCTAGAAATGAGGGTCTCCACCATGAGAAGTGGGAGTTAGAGGAGGAGGTGGAGGTCCCTCATGGTGGGCTCCCTTGTATGGGGTTCCCAAGGGAACACTCAAATGGGGAGCTCCTTGACGCCTAGGGTGCAGAGTGCTTTGGTTTGAGGTCCTCTGGGCTATATTCCTCCTTGTTGTGTAGCGAGCAATAGTTGTAGGATCTACTTATTTTGGGCTACAAGCTGTTGAATTGTCTCCAGCATCTGCTGTGCATTTAGGACGAGATTAATTGGTGGAGGAACAACCTTTTCTTCTCGTNGGAGGAGGTGGAGGTCCCTCATGGTGGGCTCCCTTGTATGGGGTTCCCAAGGGAACGCTCAAATGGGGAGCTCCTTGATGCCTAGGGTGCGGAGTGCTTTGGTTTTAGGTCATTTGGGGCTATATTCCTCCTTGTTGTGTAGCGAGCAATAGTTGTAGGATCTACTTATTTTGGGCTACAAGCTGTTGAATTGTCTCTAGCATCTGCTGTGCATTTAGGACGAGATTAATTGGTGGAGGAGCAACCTTTTCTTCTCATNGGCTACAAGCTGTTGAATTGTCTCCAGCATCTGCTGTGCATTTAGGACGAGATTAATTGGTGGAGGAACAACCTTTTCTTCTCGTGGTGGATTATTTTCAGGCTGATTCATCGATCCGATGGTGATCGCCATAGGTACAATAAATGAAATGATAATGTGAGAATTTTGTCTTTCCCACAGACAGTGCCAAACTGATGATGCACAAATTGAGTTTGCACACAACCTGTCAAATAATCAGTATTAAATTGGAGAGAAATAATAAGCTAAACGAGACATAAATTTATTGTGGTTTGGTCAATGTGACATACGTCCACTTTTAAGGGCTAAGGTCGTCGAAGTATTTTATTACTTCAATGTGTATAGTGAGAGCAGGGAGATACAAGCTATGAGAGATAGGGTAAAGTAGCAGATGTGCTCGATTGTGTGTGATGTCCCCCAAGTGTTTGCAGGGCTTACAATTTATAGTCGCATTCTAATAGAATGAGACGGCTCATTAGTAACTAAATGACTAATCGAGGGGAGCTGGGGCTAGGGGTGTCAATCATGTCGGGTTCAACAGTTACGTGTTGGGTTAAACGGGTGACAGATAAAAAACATACAAACCCATACACGACACACTTAATAAACGGATAAAATTTTTCAACACAAACACGAACTGTTTATTAAATGGATAATACGACACGACTTGTTTAACCTATTTAAAAATAATAAAAAGTTATTATTTTAACAAATTTTCACACTTCATTTTTTTTTCTTCTAACTATACTTTCTTCAATTTGAAAAGTTTCAGCCAAAAATCTATATGATAAGCCACGCCACACAAATTAACTAAAAGGAGGAGGCCATTGCCTATTTTATAGGCCTGTAAAGTCCATTCTCCACTCCCCTGTATCGATGTGGGATGCAAAGAAAAGACATTCAACGCCTCAATGACCATTCACTGTCTCAAAGCCCTCTCTTTCTAATTTTTTTTTGCTGAAATATTTTATTTACTGTTTTTTCTTTACTCATTCATTATTTTATATATATATATATATATATATATATATAATAATAATTATTAATTTATTATTATATTAAATATATTTAAACGGATAAACGGGTTGACATGTCTCACCTAAACACGACCCATTTATTAAACGTGTTTAACGGGTCAACCCGTTTTTCACCTAAACCCGTTTAATTTGTGTTGATTCGTGTCGATTAATCGTATCGTATCAGATTTTGACAGGCCTAACTGACACCCTCTTCTCAACGGATGAGGCAGTTACGATACTCTCCATGATATCTGGATAAAAGATGACATGATGGTTGACTCTTTTCAAGGTGGCGTGGATGAGGCTCTTGGATGACCCCCTACTCATTTGACGATATAGCTCATCGAATCCTGATGAGTTTGAGCGAGCGTGGACTCCTTTGAATTGGATCTCTTTAGTTGAGCTTTTAATTTAAACTGGACTTACAACATGAGTTGGACCATTGAGCTTAACTCGTCAATTTCCGAAAGATTCTACTTATTTTGAAAAATGAAAAAAGAGTTCAAGTGGAGTGGGCCACGGTGATCGGCAACAATGGGCCGAACGTTTTTCGGACTGGATCACCCGGCAAGGTTGTGCACCGACACTTCTCATCCCGGGTCATCAAGGAAAAACCGAACCCAACTATATCTCAACTGGGTTTTTTTCTCAACCGTAGTTAAGCCGGGCTTTCCCGATCCATGAATCNTTTTTCGGACTGGATCACCCGGCAAGGTTGTGCACCGACACTTCTCATCCCGGGTCTGCAAGGAAAAACCGAACCCAACTATATCTCAACTGGGTTTTTTTCTCAACCGTAGTTAAGCCGGGCTTTCCCGATCCATGAATCGGTCCCGAGGTTGACCCTGCAAACCGGTTTTAAAACCTCTCCACTGTTTAAGTCGGTTAAACCCTCCTTCCCCTTTCAGGCTCTAAAACCTAACACAGTCCGTCCTCAGTTGCTGCTGCTGGTCTCTCTCTCCAGAAACTCTCACATATTTAAAGCTTCTGAAGCATACACTAGCTAATGGCGACGCCATCGGCCGCTAAGGCCGTTAAGTCTCTGAACACATCCCCTGGTCGCCGTCGTTTTGTGGTAAAACCTCTCTCTCTCTCTCTCTCTCTCTCTCTCTATTTATATGTATATATATAGATATATCCATATATATTTGTACAGAGTGTTTGGTTGCTTCGTCTGTGAATAATTTTCTTATTAGCAGTCAAACATATTAGAATTGGCAAAAAAACCATTGTTTCACCGTTTCTTGTTTGTGAAGGTCGTATTAAATGATTGAACTTTTAATATGTGCAGTTCAAGGCGTTTTCCAAGCAAATTGAGGAAATTGAAATTGATGTTTATCGAAGTCTCGATCCTCTCAAGGCGGAGCCCTCCCCAGGGTCCACATTTTTCCGTGACTGCCTCATTCAATGGAGGGTATGCTCTATTTTTTCTTAATTATTTTGGGGCATATTCTCTGGTTTAATTTAAAGTCTCGTTTTTGTTTTGATGGCAAGAGTTATGGTGCAGTAATACACATTATTTGTTCTAGAAGAATTTTTTTTCACTGTTGTACGGTTTGTTAAAGCATCTTCATCTGTGAAGAGAGAAACTTGTATTGAATGGGACTAGTTAAAAATGGGTTGGATAGATTTTTCTTCATTTTGCTCAAGTGGTTGTGCTGATTCATCTTTGAACTTGCTTGTTATAATGCTCTATAAAGCACGATGGACTGATTCGATTTTGGCTGAATATTTGAAACAATTTCTGTTTGAATTGATGTTTCTCCTTTTTGGGCAACTTGTACTAATTTATATTTCTGTTTTCATCCTAGGAATTAAACACCGCTGAGGACTTTATTTCATTTTATGAGGAAATGATGCCCTTGGTACAAACATTGCCCCAAATAATATTGCAGAAGGAGTTGATACTTTCAAAACTTCTGTCTTCATTGCACATAAAAGGGAGGCTGTCACTTGAGCCCATCCTCAGGTACAACAGCATGTTAGGGTTCATTCTGTAATATAATGGATACGTACTTGAAAGAACTGGGAAGCAGGATCAATCATCTTATTATTTTGAATGGCGCTTATCATCCCTTGTTTACCTTTGTTGCTACATATATTGCCAAGAGCCCATGTACATGAGGAGTCATATGAAGGTACCATATCCACTAACTTAAAATATGAATGATGATGATTTGGGGATGTCATACACAAACCCTCCATATCCCAGCTTGGAATTGAAGCATGCACACTAGAGCCAGAGTAAGAACCATCATTTTTTATCATGAAGTGTTAGGAGTGGCATAGCCAAGAATTTTATTTTATAAGGTCATTCCATGAGTAGTCACGATCAAACTTTTAATTGCATAGAATGTCTCAAGTTCAACTTTCACACAATGCATTTTATTATTGTTTATTTTCAACAGATGGTGAGATTTCCCTATCTGAAAGTCAGGGGCATAAATGGGTATTATAGATATAGGCTCTAGAATAGGGTCTATGAACAAAGATGAAGTCGACTGCTTGTCCTCATGGTATGATAACTAAAGGTAAAGACGAGTTGATCTGCCCCGCCTGGTAAGTAGTTAGTGTTATTGGATTTACGATGTCAGTTGGGAAAATGTGTCCCTTCTCTGTGTTTAAAATGTGCCTAATGTTATGCAGTGACTTCCGAGCTTTTTTGCCAGCATTCATTTAGTCTTAGTGAAGGTACCACACGACCGTCAACTCTAACTTAAACAGCAACAGGAGCTGGAGCTGTAGTAGCTTCTGGTGTGGGAGCTGCTGTTAAAATAAAAGAATCATTTCAAACTTGTCAAATGACATGTAAAGAAAAGTATTTCAGATCAATAGTCAAATAATTAACAATTTCATCTTAATTTAATCAGAAAATCACTCGCGCACAACTAAATTTCAACCCAATTATATAAGGGGTTGGGCAGATTTTATATCGGGTGTGGGAAAATTATATGATTTTGGACCCTATATATCGGGTGTGGGCAGATTATAATTCGTCCACTTAACTGGATATTTAGTCTACCTCTTACTATTGATTTAAACACCATCCTCAAGTATTCAAAGTTGGGACACTTTGAATAAATCGTTGAATTTAGAATCTAAAATAGCCAATGTGCTAATCTAGGAAAAAGTTCACATACACTATTTTTGTCCAAAAAAGTAAAGATTTGTGCGAAGTGTCGCGAATTTCTATAATTATGGGTGTAAAAAAATGTATTCAAATTCCTAGTATATTAAAACTATAATTTAAGGGGACAAAATGTAATTAATCCACAAGATATTTATCGAAAAATCGAGAGGGGACATGGCCCCTTCGGCTACAATATGGCTCCGTCACTGACCTCCACCTTTAGTAGCATTATTTGAATTATCTAAGTTGTTGCTTGAATAGTTCATTTTGTTTTCCTTTCCCTTGGGCTATTCTTCGATCAATTCTTTCGTATCTCTCTATTTTTGTGTCTGAACTATATATCCAAATAGTGTTTGTATCTCTTAGTGATCCATTTTTTATCCTAGAGGGTGGTGGTATTATAAACACTTGATGAAGCTCCAGGTGGGATCAAGGTATATTAAGATTGTAGTAACCCCTAGCGTCCCATGATTTGGGGTCACACAACCCCAAGTTGGGTTTGTTAATTACGTATGTTACCTCAGTTTCTGACCTTAAATTGCAATTCTAATTGCTACTTTATTTATTTATTTTTTTTTGTTTTTAGTGATCTTTAAACTTATATTTTGAGTTGTTTGAATTTTTTTTTTGTAACACAAATATGTAACAATTAATTGATACATTGTTCTGTATTATGGTTTGTGATGGAACTCTTAGCACAAATGTAAAATTAAAAATAATTTTTTACTATGTAAGTATGGATGTTTGATTTTTTATAGTTTTTTATTATTGTGAAAGCGATTCGGAAAAGAATTTATTTTTTTGATAAGAAATAATAACTTATATTAAAAAAATAAGAAAGAAAAGTTACAAATCCTATGTAAGGTGGATAATGTATCCAACCTTAAAATAGGTAAAGTTAAACAACATAAAAGTTTAAATCAGGAAAAATGTTCATGCTACATTCTGCATGAAGCTGCCCAACTCACAGTGATACAGATTACAGAAAAGAGGAATATTCTTAAATTCCTTACTCACTGATGCTGAAAATGAAGCCAAGAAAAATATCCAGTCCCATAATCCTTCCACCCCTTCAACTTTTTCTTGAAAGATCCGCGCATTTATTTTCAACCAAATTACCCAAATAATAGCAAAATAAGCGCACCGCCATAGAGTCTTCATCTTTTTATTTGTTCCAACCCATAGCATCCAAACCAAGTATTGAAGCAATGGACCTAGGCACCACCCAACACAGCCCCTAATAATAGCAAAATGATCATGCATTGTAGCAACTAAGCGTAGCCACTTTGCATCGAGTTTTGATGAAAGTACAGTACTATGTACCATGGTAAGATTAAGAGTACCAAATCGATCCACCGCCCACGCATGTGACATTAGATGGGATAGGGAGGGAAAAGGACCATTACACCTCCAATGGGCCAAAATGTCACTTTCCTTAATCATCTACCTCTCATCCCTTTCTCAGTATTTTGTCGTCCTCACGCTCTCGGTTGTGCAGCCCTCCTCTGGGCTATTTCACCGGTTAAACAAGGTCAATCATCACATGGGGATAGATTTAGGACCCACAATCTATTTCCTATGTCTTTTTTAAACTTCTGCGGTTCTACCTAAACTTCACTAATAAATATTGTTCTCTTTGTCAAACTTCACCCTCTGTCTTACACTTTTTATGTTTTTTTAAAAAAATTTCTACCCAAAATCTGCCCAAAAACATTGTCCTCTTTGTCATGCAGTTGCATTCCTCCTCTGGCTATGTTTTGGCAAACACACAGCTTATATGAACCATCTCATGTTGTCGTAACCTGTCATTTGATACTTTTCACAAAGCTTCCCACAACTAGCAATGAATACTAGTATTGCTTCTGTTATCTGTATTAGTGACTCTTTACTTGCCAGTGATGTTATTTTACTTAATTCGACTAGTATCAGTATGAGTTTAAATTCGAAGTTTGTTACATGCTTTTGCAAATGATGGGCTGTGATTGGATTATTTTGGTAGCAATTCTTTATAAAAAATTTCTCTCGTCGAAATATGAGGAAGATATCAGATGGTCTAGATTGGTATTATGCACAAAATTTGCATTATATTGATTGGATTGTACTGAGGCATTTTGGTCAAAGTTGCATTAGGCCACATATTAGTGCAGATAGCCTAATGTGGGATTGGACTGGACTAAGTGTTATCTTGCTCCTAATTCCGCATTGTGGCAAATACTGACAAAGATTATCAGATAATAAATGGGATTCTTATCCCCCTTTTCATCCGCTTGTATGGGATGGGACTGGATTAGACTGTGGCACTGTGCAATCCCATCTTTTCCAGTCCAGCAACCAAACAACCCTGATGTAGTAATGTCAAATCAGAGGTATAATATCCTGAAAATCAGTATACTTTAGTTGTCTTTCTGATGGGTTTTTTTGGGAATTAATGTTTGTTAAATTCCATTGGACCATGAGGTTTAATTTCAATCAGTAGCAGTTGCCAATCTCATATAAATGAACTTTTTGGGCCTAACATTGGCTAATCTGTTAGAATTAAGAAGAGTTAGTTATGTTGGAAAAATTATTTGGTGCCTCCCTGACATTTTAGAAATAATGCTAAACTCCCTGAGTTTTGCGTTGCAAACAGAGACACCCTTTTTCAATCTAATATCAACAATATTAAGATGTTAGTTTTTATATTTGACCCTATCTTTGAAGATTTTTTAATTTTTTTGACTTAGTCAAATAAGAATAAAATGGTACTTCATGGACAATAATAAGGGATCTTCGTTTTATTTATAAAATGTCAAGGGGTTTCTATGTTATTTTAAAAATATTTAGGGGATTTTATGATGAGTTTGACTTAAACTAACTGTGAACTACTCATAACCCCCTTCCCCCCCCCCAAAAAAAAAATAAAAAATAAAAAATAAAAAATTGAAATTAAACAGAATAAAAAAAGGAAAAAGGGAAAAGGAAGAAGAACACTAGCAATCAACTTATTGTTAGTACGAGTTCAGATTTCCAATTTATTCCAAAGAACAATAAGTTCAATGTTGAGGATCATAACTTTTGGGTTTGAAGTTTAAACAGTTTGGTATCTACCGTCTTTAATTTGGCAACAAAGTGGACCTGTTGCAGATGCTAATTGCAAATAAGCTTTACAAAATGGTAGTTTTATTCATGAAGTTGTTCAATGTTGTACTTCGAAGTTGCTGCGTGCATAAAGAAAACTGTATCATCTGTGATGTTTCTAATGGGTATCATTTTTGCAAGACAAGAAAAACAATGAACATTTTATTTTGGATAGGACAAAATAACACAGTTGAAGTCACCTGCTGAAAAAGACGGTTGAAGTTGGGAAAAATAAAACCCAACGTGGTCCCCATTAATGTGGTTTGATAGGGATATACTAGTTGCAAACGTGGCTGACCTCGGGCTCAACCCACAATCTCAAAAAAAGAAAAGAAAAGGAAAGAAAAGATATTGGGTTGAATTTTAATCAGTAAACGAGTGACCTCCTTTTTCAAGATATTTTCCCATTTTTACATTATATCCTGAATTTGGATTACATTAAAACACCATTTTTTTTTTTGCAGATTCTGGTACCAGTGCTTTCTGTATTTCTTTTCTTCCTCTCTTCTTTGTTTCTTTTCCCCCTTATGTTGTTTACTGATAATTTATCTTTTTTTTTTTGGTAGATTGGTTGCAGCATTATCTAGAGACCTTCTGGAGGATTTTTTCCCGTGAGTTCCTTCTTCATTGGGATTGATAATATCTTTCTTTTATTTTCTTACTTATTTTTAAACAAGTTTTCATTGTTTCTCCTTCTTTCTTTTGGATAAGTAAATATTTGGACTAGTCATTTCTTGAGACCTGTTAGGCATTATTTTCATTCACTGTCACTACTCTTTTATTGGATGTTATCTGGTGTTATTTTATTTGACTTGTGAAGTTCTTATATGCCCAATTTCATCCCCCCATGTTGGTGCTTCCGTAGCCATGAACTTGTTGGAATTTGAGCTTGCATAGTTTGAATTTATACTTAAAATCTATGTTGATTCGTGAACTATTAAGATGTACTGCTGTAGGAACAACAACCATTCCTTGATGGATGGCTCTCTTGTGTCCTATTAAGATGTAGTGCTGTAGAACAACAATGATTCCTCGATGGATGGTTCTCTTGTGGCCACTTGAAAAAGTTAATCAGCTTTGATTTTTCTGTTCATCATTTTTGTTGGATGTGTTTTTTGTATTGCTTTCTTTTGATAATTGAATGGCTATCCATTGTTAAAGGAACCATGTTGAGGGTTGTTAAATAAATATCTCTTTTTTTTCCCCTGGGCCTTTGGCTAGTATAGAAGGCCTCTATGCATGGATTTGTTGGCTGTTAGTATTTGGTGCTTTACATATTGTATTGCATGGAGCTGGCAGCCTGACTTGTGATCATAAAATACATAATTGGTGTGTTGTTGTTGCTTTTAGTCTTGTCCAATACTCTTTGATGTGCTTCAAAAAGGAGACGCATTATTTGTCTCCCACCACAGTGGTGTCGGTGTGTTATGTGTAAAGGTGATGGAGAGAGTATTGATCATCTCTTTCTTCATTGTCTTGTTGCATTTTCACTTTGGAACAAGTTGTTTAGACTTGTTGATCATTGTTGGGTGGCACTGAGAAGTATGCTTGTGATGATATATTGGGATGTTTTGAGTGGGGGCAAGAATAGGAAGTGGAAAACCCTTTGGCATTGCACATGTTATGCCATTGTTTGGGTGATTTGGTTAGAAAGGAATGCAAGGATTTTCGATGAGAAGTGTGGGGAGGGAGAAGACATTTGGATTTGGGAACGAGTTTACTTTCTGGCTTCCATGCCAAAAAATTTGAAGATATCCCTCTTTCTTGCATTATTTTGGGCTGGACTGCGTCATGCGGACTGTAGTGCTTGCCTTTGTTTTTGGTTTTTTTTTTTTCTGTTTGCATATTTTGGGTTGGATGACTTATCCAACTTTGATATGCCTTTTGTAATATTGATTATTATTAATGAAATCAATGTTTCTATCATTTTTTTTTTGTTTAATCTATTTCTCCTGTACTTGTACTCTCTCAGCTTTCTCCAGAGGATTGCTGATTCTTTAGTATCTCTCCTGAAAAATGGTGCTGATAGGGAACCGGAGATTATTGAGCAGGTCCAAATTATGATAATCTTTTACAGTTGTTTAATAATTGTTTATTATTATCTTTGATATCTGAAAGGAAATCAAGTTAATTCTAAAATTGTGGTCTTTGTTAGCAGATTTTTACTTCGTGGTCATGTATTATGATGTATCTGCAGAAATACCTTGTAAGAGACACTGTCCATGTTCTCAAGTAAGTGAATACTATGTTACTTCTTCCTTTATCTAAACGAAATGCAGCATATATGTGTTTTTTTTCCGCTAGATTATAGGAATTTGGCAGGTATTATTGAATGGAAATATTTGTTCAATTTTTTTAAAGGGAAAAAAATAGTGAATCAGTTTGAGCCTTGAGAACGTATGAGATAATATGCAAAAATGATTGGCTTGGACATGGAACGAGTTAGGGGCTTATATTTCATCTTGTAATACTTATGAGTCAAATATTTACTTGATTAAATTGTCATCTATATGATACTTATCCCCTGCTCGCCCCAAAAAGGAAGGAATGCCATATGTACAAGTAGTTGAATTGGAGTCTGGAGATCATCTCAAATCCCAAGGATTAGGACTTAGTTAAATAATTTTCTCTGACAATATTCAGTAAAAAATAAAGGTAACATTTTGGATTGGGAGCATATGTATATTGATGTACCATTTGCCTGTATATAGTGTTTATGAAAAAGAATGCTGCACTTAAAATCTTTTAATATGCAATGTTATCTTTCTCTTTTTTGAAGAGTTTCTGTAAAATTAAGATATTACCCCAAAGATTATGTCCAAGAGCTTATGGCGGAGTCATTGTCATTCTTGTTGAGGAATGCACCAGTTCAGCAACTTATAAAAGGTATTGTCATCCTTCTGTGTTGAAATTTTCTACCTCTTCAATATTAGCCATTTTTTGTATCTTAGTCGTGTTATTATTATTCTTCATTCCATTCAGCTTACATTCATTGAATGAGCTTCTGAGTTTTGACTTGGATTTGTGGAATTTTGTATTCTTTTGCATGTACCTGTATAATCTTTGTGTTTTTTTTCCCGCATGGATGCCTGGTGAAGTGGAATGATTGACTTTGCTTTCAGATCAGAAACATTATTAATCTTGTCACTTAATCATAGTAAAAGCCTTTACAATTTCAAGCAATTTATGAAGGGTTGTTAGGGTTTCTTTTCTACTTTTTTGCTGGGTTGGTGGTGGGTGTTAAGATCACTTGGTGCATTCATAGTTGAATTACTCTGATTTTGGTCACAAGACCTCTAGGAATTGCACTGAAGGGGCCATTCCTAGTGCTAGAGTAAAAATGCTAGGAGTAACAACCTTGCAACTGCAACTGTGAATCTAATGCCAGTACCTGGTATGAAATAAGGCAAGGTGAGGTCTTTAACCAATGCGTTCGTCCTAGCCTAGCACCACAATCAACAACATGAGTAATACAAGGATTAGGTTTATCTGGATTCAGTCCATCACCTCCAGCAATTGTGCAAAACCATTATGGTGATGTACATATTCGGACATGATGTTTTGGGTTCGAACCTGTTTGCAGCCACTTTGTACAAAATAATGCCAAATGTTAGGTATGTCTCTTAGTCCTAGACCTCCATTAATAGGGACTAAATTGGGTGTTAAATTGNTTTGGGTTCGAACCTGTTTGCAGCCACTTTGTACAAAATAATGCCAAATGTTAGGTCTGTCTCTTAGTCCTAGACCTCCATTAATAGGGACTAAATTGGGTGTTAAATAGTATAAGATAAAACAGCCACTACTGGTTACTTGTTTGCTGACCCTCTAGCTGGAATTGGGTTCTATTTATTTCCACTTCCTTATAGGCACCTCTAGAAAGCTTTTGAAGGGCAGTTTCACTTACTTCGCCTGGACATTGGGACCTTATTCAAACTGGCACCGCAGGCATTCATGGGAGGAATAGCCTTTTTATCGGCCTTTTCGGATTGGGTAGGTAAAAATATTCTTAGACAACTTAATAATATGTTCACAGGCAACATTGATTTGAAAAGTGAAGGAAAAAAGCAACTATCTGTTGCACTCTTGAGGGTAAAGGTCCTTACAAAATGTGTGACAAATACTTTTGGGTTAAAAGTTATACCAGAAAATGTTTAGGCAGCATAACTAATGGAAATCTTAGTGCTTCTGGTAACTTCTTGGTACTTGATGCATTTAAGCTTGAAATTTAATGAGTTTTTTTGCCAATTAATTTTTTAGCTTATGTATATATATGTAATCTGCTGAGTTGTTTTTATTTTTGGCCTGTGTTGTTTCACATAAATTATAATTGGTTTGGTATTGATGTCTCATACACTCAAGGATCTAAATCTCGTGTCGACACGTCCGAAACGTTTCGGAATTTCAACACTCCGACACGAAACAGTGGTTGAATCCCTAAATTCCAGTGTTTCAGTCGAAACGACACTGTTTCGGACCGTTTCAGTCGAAAAGTACAGTTTCAACGAAATAGTGGAAAGATTCGTTCACTCCAGGCCAAAAGACAAAAAAGAGAGGGGCTCAGAAAAGCAGATTCCAAGTTAGAATTCACAGCTCCAAGTTAAAAAAAAAAGGGGGGAAAAACAGACATCTTCACAGATCTAGGTCTTTCAAGCGAAAAAAAAAAAACAGAGAGAGGAGGGAGAGAAAGGCACCAGACAGAGAGAAATATAGACCAGAAATTGAAGAAGTTACTGTAACTTACCTCCTTCACTCTAGATTTGAGTAGATCCAGCCATTATCCAAGCAGATCTAGGGCTTGGGAGTTCTCTTGTCTTCATCGCTGCGACCACGAGTTTTCACCGGTCCACGGGTGTGTTCTTCTTCTATCTCTCTCAGTCCGGCATCACCCAGATCTCCTCTGGCCTCTCGCTCTGTCTGTTCGTTCGTTCGTTCGTTCGTGTGGGTGTGGCTCNGGCATCACCCAGATCTCCTCTGGCCTCTCGCTCTGTCTGTTCGTTCGTTCGTTCGTTCGTGTGGGTGTGGCTCAACTGTGTAGGTTCTATATATATATATATATATATATGTTTTTTTTTTTTTTTTAAGTATGAGTAATTACATTTAATACCCTATTGTAATTATATTTAATACCTATTATAATTATATTTAATACCTATTGNTTTTTTTTTTTTTGTTAAGTATGAGTAATTATATTTAATACCCTATTGTAATTATATTTAATACCTATTATAATTATATTTAATACCTACTNTTGCACTCTTGAGGGTAAAGGTCCTTACAAAATGTGTGACAAATACTTTTGGGTTATAAGTTATACCAGAAAATGTTTAGGCAGCATAACTAATGGAAATCTTAGTGCTTCTGGTAACCTCTTGGTACTTGATGCATTTAAGCTTGAAATTTAATGAGTTTTTTTGCCAATTAATTTTTTAGCTTATGTATATATATGTAATCTGCTGAGTTGTTTTAATTTTTGGCCTGTGTTGTTTCACATAAATTATAATTGGTTTGGTATTGATGTCTCATACACTCAAGGATCTAAATCTCGTGTCGACACGTCCGAAACGTTTCGGAATTTCAACACTCCGACACGAAACAGTGGTTGAATCCCTAAATTCCAGTGTTTCAGTCGAAACGACACTGTTTCGGACCGTTTCAGTCGAAAAGTACAGTTTCAACGAAATAGTGGAAAGATTCGTTCACTCCAGGCCAAAAGACAAAAAAGAGAGGGGCTCAGAAAAGCAGATTCCAAGTTAGAATTCACAGCTCCAAGTTAAAAAAAAAAGGGGGGAAAAACAGACATCTTCACAGATCTAGGTCTTTCAAGCGAAAAAAAAAAAACAGAGAGAGGAGGGAGAGAAAGGCACCAGACAGGGAGAAATATAGACCAGAAATTGAAGAAGTTACTGTAACTTACCTCCTTCACTCTAGATTTGAGTAGATCCAGCCATTATCCAAGCAGATCTAGGGCTTGGGAGTTCTCTTGTCTTCATCGCTGCGACCACGAGTTTTCACCGGTCCACGGGTGTGTTCTTCTTCTATCTCTCTCAGTCCGGCATCACCCAGATCTCCTCTGGCCTCTCGCTCTGTCTGTTCGTTCGTTCGTTCGTTCGTGTGGGTGTGGCTCAACTGTGTAGGTTCTATATATATATATATATATATATGTTTTTTTTTTTTTTTTTAAGTATGAGTAATTACATTTAATACCCTATTGTAATTATATTTAATACCTATTATAATTATATTTAATACCTATTGTAATTATATTTAATACCTACTATAATTACATTTAATATTATATTGTAATTATATTTAATACCCCACTGCTTGTAGGTCCCTTTTTTTTTTTATATTATAAGTATGAATAATTACATTTAATAACTCACTATAATTATATTCAATACTTATTATAATTACATTTAATACCTATTGTAATTATATTTAATACCCTCTGTAATTACATTTAATACTCCACTAGAATTACATTTAATTTTCCACTGTCTTTTATTTTTATTTTTTGTTATAAGTATGAATAATTATATTTAATATCCCACTGTAATTATATTTAATAACCAGTGTAATTATATTTAATACCCTACTATAATGAGACCTTAATATTTAACATTTTATGTGTATTATGAGGCCTTAATATTGTGTAAAAATGTGTTTATTTGATAAAAATTAAGTGTTTGAAACTAATTTAAGTTATTTTCGCCTCATGTTAAGCCTTTTTTTTCCCTCCAATTTAAATTTATTCTTGTATAAATGGATGTTAACCCAATAAATATGTTGAATTAATCAATTATTTAACTTATCTTTATAAATTAATGGATTGTAGGTGTGTTTCCATGCGTTTTCATATTTTTTCTGCGTTTCTATTGTGTTTCCGAAACGTTTCCGTTTTTGAGCAGACTGAAACGGTACTTTGAAACGAAATTTCGATCCTTGCATACACTTAGACGGTATTGAGTGGATGTTTTTTTTTGTTGTGCTCCCTGGGTATTTTTTCAATGCTTTGAGTTGTAGTGTGAATTGCTAGTAATAAAAAGAGATAAAAATATTAAATTCGACATAAGTAGGCTGGAGATATTATTGTTTCAGTTGCTTTATTTTTTTTTAAAATTTTTTTTTGCGATATCTGAAATTATATAAAAGGAAAGGACAAGGCAATGCATCCCGATAAATTGAATGACTTGGATCCAATTAATTAGAGAAGGCAGTCTTAAATTGACATGGTAAACTTGCTTGTTATTATGTAATGTAAAGAGCATGCTAACAGGAAAAAGGTGCTTGCCTGCTTGGAGGGGATGAGCAAAGTATGAACTCACACGAGTGCGATTTTTGTTGGAACAATTTTAGGTTAAATTGTGCTTATTTTATGCAAATTTTAGGTTGAGAAGCTGCTGCTCGGCTGCTGTTCAAAAGTTTGAGAGTATTGTATGTTTTGGTCATGTCTGCACTCTATCAAAAGCAACCAATGCATGTTTATGCCATTTAAAGCTTTTATGATATTTAATGCTGCAAACGCAATGGTGTGTGACATATTGGCAATTATCTGATACTTCTGTTACTATTTACTCAACTTGCTAATAAATGTTCTTATGCCCGTTTCTAAGAGTGAAAGTACCAAAAACACACTTACATGCCAGTTGCTCAGATTTGGTCTATTCCATTGGACTTTATTTGGATTTATTATGTTCGATTTCTTGCAAACGATTTCACAGAAGTAAGTAACAGCTGGAATTGGACAGGTATCAGAAAAGTCATGTTTGAAGTTGTGAAAAAACCTCTGATGGTTAGAAAATCAGGAGTCAGTGCTCTCTTATGGTATGTAATGAGAGGGACTTCATTGAGGTTACATTCAAGAGCAGAACAAGTGCTACGGCTGTTGATGGACAGCTCAATAATTAGTATTGGTGAGGAATTTTCTGAAGGTAAGATCTGTTTGTCTTTTATATGTACTGCTTACATGTTACTGGGTTTATTCTTTGTCGCTGTTGCATACTCCTGTTTATAATATTTCTTGACGGTATTCTAAAGCCATGTGTGGTCTACCAGAATTTATTTTCTATGCAAGTCTCATTACTCATCTTTTTAGGAATTTTTATCCTTAAATAGAAGTAAGAACGTGAGTTTTGGAAAAATTGGTTGAGGCTTGAACTTGTGGCCCTAGATCATGGCAATGACCCCTACCACTGGGGGCATTCCTATATCTCAAGATTTTGCAATTTTTCCTCCATTTCATGCTATCCTAGAATTTAGGTACTAGCTTGTTTTAGCATTGCATATAGCAGGGCTCGGTACTTAAGAGGTATCACAATAATTCGATGGAAAATGGTTATGGGACTTCTTTGTTGACCATGAAGTACTAATTTTTCTACATCTCTGGGAATTGATTTGTAGAGAGTGGTAAGGAAAGTAATGATTATGCCCTTGCTTTTCTGTAATTGTTTAATAGTATATCCATTGCTTTTAGGTTAATGGTATTAGTTTCTTTTATTAGGTCAATTTTTTTTGGCTGTTTTATGATTTTTTTTTCCAGCTGTTGTGTTAGTTGGTCCTGAATGCTCCTTTTTTCCCTCTCTTTTTGCAGGTTCAGACACTGCTGTTGAAGTTGTGATTGCTGCCTTTCAGAGATTATGTGAGGCGTTAGAGCCTATTGAATTGAAATTGATGTGGGATTGCTTATATGAGGAAATAACCGACTGTGTGAATAATGGATACTTGTTACATGTCAGTCGTCTTTTGTCCCTGCTAATATCTACCGTTCAAATCGAATATGTGCGCAAAATTTCTGGTGGGCTATAGAGTAATTTTGATATGTGTACTCCTTTATTTTGCTGTTTTTTCTCGCTTGTTGCATTTTATTCACATTTCTTTTCTCCTCCACTGACATGAAGATCTTTATGCTGTACAGATTACCAACCAGTGCTTCAACTGGTTGGATTGCTTGTGCAGACTTTTATAATGCCTTCTCGCGTAGTGACAGCTGAGGATCAATCATCTGAAATTATTGAAAAAGTTCTGCAATTGATGCTTTGCATTCTTGATGGTCTCCAGAGTGCTAATAACATGTCAGCTTTTTCTAACTTGTCAGTGCAATGGGCTCCAGTATTTGAGCTAAGGAATTCAAGGTATTGCCTTTGATGTACTTTAGAACCGTTAGCCTCTGTGTTGTGTATGTGTATATGTGTGCATATCTACCTACCTATCTCTCTCTCACTCTCTGATGTATTTGTGGCTTGGTTTCAGAAGTTTGCTAACTTTCATAGGAGAACTACTTTTAAAAGACCCCTGCATTCTCCACACTTTCAGAACTAACATTATAAGGTAATGTTGATATGATGGTCATTGTTGTTATTCTGTTTGGAATGCTTATTGGGGATTAGTTTAGGCTACTTAATTTTCCAATTGGATTTCAGTGGGTTGAATCATTTAATAGAATCTTTTGAGGAGGGAGTCATTCATTTGCTGCAAATTTTCTGCGAGAGACTGCAAGTGCAAAGCTCTGGCCCCCTAGATGGGACATCCAAAGCAGGGCTTTCTAGGATTTGCAGTTACTTCGAGGAGGCCATTGCCAATTGGATTGGGGTGATCAATGATGCAGCACAGGGAGATCCATCTCATGTTCATTTTCAAGAAACCAAGTTGGCTTTGCTGTGGGGAATCATTAACTGTTATGTGGTAGATGTCCAGGCAAATCCATCCTTGCTAATGCACTTAGTAGATGCACTTGATCAGCTTTTGACAATTGAATCTGGTGAGGCATTATTTCTAGTTATTTTACATGCTTTTGTCATAGGGTAAACTTTGGGACTCAATGTCATGTGGTGTGCAGAANCACTTGATCAGCTTTTGACAATTGAATCTGGTGAGGCATTATTTCTAGTTATTTTAGATGCTTTTGTCATAGGGTAAACTTTGGGACTCAATGTCATGTGGTGTGCAGGAGCCAAAACAAAAAATTTCATGTTGTATGCTTACTCCAATGAGATATCCAGTGGGAAACAAATTCTAATCCTATATACCTTATTGTTCTTAGGACTTGGGATCCATTGTAAATCATAGGGAAGATAGTTTTAGGCTTGAAATTTGAATTATTAATTTACATATTCTCTTTGTTTATTTGAAAGAATTTGAGAGGATTAGATGGTTGTAGCCAGTTTAATTAGTTTGGTTTGTTGAATCATTTTGGTGTTTTTATTCGAAAACTTCTGGAAGTACTTAAATCAAGTTGTTTCTAGCTATATGCTTTTGGCCAACAGCAGGTAATTTATGTGAAGTTTTTTTCAGAGAATATTGCAGGGTTTCCAAAGAACACTTGGCAAAGCCTGATTGGCGCTGCTTTGAGTTCGTACAATAAGTTGCGTTCTGCTCAGAAAAGTGGGGATGAGGAATCTGCAGTATGCAAATTCTTGTATCTTGCAAAAAGATACAAGTCCTCTTCCCAAATATTGTCTTCTGTTGCTGATTTTCTGGATTCAGTGGATGAGTAAGTTAGCCTTTGTCTCATTAATTGGTATTTTTCAAATCTTCTGGTGGTTGTTATTTTTTTACCGTTTGCTGAATGTTGGTTTTTGTTGAAACACTGTGATTTTGTTAACCTTCCAAGATTATGCAATGAAGGTCTATGATGCAAGCTGATGTGGGCCCGGAAATGTTTCATCCAGAGCTTGGATCAAGGAATGTTGTGGATGCTTTAGACATATTTACTGAAAATTTGTGCCACCCAGACAAAAGGATCCGTCTTTCTACCCTAAGAATATTGTGCCACTATGAACCTCTAAGTTGTGAATACCGTACAAAGGACCAGCCCGTTGAGAAGAAATTGAGAACCGAAATTTCACAGACTTGCCAGGACAAGACTGTATGTGCCTTTCTTTTTTGCTGCTCTTTACATAATATGATGGTACTCAATTTATGGTTGTTTTTCCTTCAAATATCAGGTCTTTCAGCTTCTCCTTTCGATTGAATCAACTCCCCTTTCCATTAGTACTAGCAGGGAGATCATCTCATTGATATCAAGAATACAGATGGATATATCTGCTACGAGGATACCTGAAACTTATGTACCCTCTGTTTTACATGGAATTTTTGGCATTTTCCATAACAAATTTGAATGTCTATGGGATCCAGCTATGCAGTGCCTTGCAGTCTTGATTGGGCAGTATTTTGGGTTGATATGGGGCAAATGTGCTCAGTATCTTGAACAATGCGAGTCTATTTTTTTTACATCTCAGAATAAATCTGATGGAGGCAGGACTGAACAACTTCATCAGTCTGGTGGTATGTGCCAATCTTTTTATGGTTCTTTCACTCTTTCAAGAAACTTCTAAAACCATATGCTAATGTCTTTTATGGATCTTGTGTCAATGTCTGCTTTATTGTGTATTATCTTCAGTGTATTACTTATCGCTGCTCTGCTAAATACTACCCTAATTTATGGACGCTGGAGAGAGAACAGAAAGCCTAAAGTGGAAAGTAGTTTAAATTTTGACAGACAGACTATGACTGACTCCTTCCCACTATACCATATTTTATTGACCAGAAAAATCAAAATTTCAAGACTTTGCTATTGGTTATCTCCAGAATCTAACAATCTGCTTGGTTTCAATTTTCAGATTTGGTTGAGCGCTTCAAGTTATTTGTTGATCCTCCATCTGTCAGCACGCAATGTGCAGACGTTCTGTCCTATTTGGTCCAGTCTTTAAAGAAAGTTCCATCTGTCTCAGAATCCGGGTCTCGACAAATTATACCTTTGTTCCTGAAGTTTCTGGGTTACGAAGTTGATGATATTGTGAGGTCGTTATTCTTCTGGGTCTTTTGCCATTAATGGGATATATTTGTTTCCCTTCCTGATTCAAAATTTTCATGCTTTCTGTTCGCGTTGTCTAATTTGATCTTTGGGTTGTTCCTCTATTTTGAGATTGCAGTGTGGAATCATATAATTCACAGGTCTGTAAAGGGAAAGAATGGAAAAATATCCTTAAAAAATGGTTAGATTTGTTAAATTTGATGCAAAATCCAAAGTCTTTCTACCGAAGTCAATTCCTCAAGGAAGTCTTGCAGTATAGGTTGGTGAACTTTTACTGCTCAATTTCAGGGTTTTGAGATGTTTGAGTCAGAATTCTTGAAGCCTTACTCATGGTTAAAACTGTATTAATTGTTTTGGGTGGATTTCCAGGTTTCTTGATGATAGTGATGCTACATTACAGGAGAAGGTTCTTGATTGCCTGTTGAACTGGAAAGATGACTTCTTAATCCCATATGACCAGCATCTGAAAAATCTGATTATTGCAAAAAATTTGAGAGAGGAACTCACGACATGGAATTTATCCAGAGAATCTAACCTTATAGATGAAGGGCACAGAATTTACCTTGTGCCTATAGTCATTCGAATTCTGATATCTAAAATCAGGAATTTGAAAACTCTGGCCCCTCGGAAGGTATTAGATTTTCCTGGAACTTAAAAACTATATCAAAGAATCTTTGTGATAATTTTTTTCCATTGCTATATTATATGACGTCAACTTGATGTGTTCTTTTTGTCAGCGCAAAAGTATACATCATCGAAGGGCAGTTCTTCGATTCTTAGCTCAACTTGAAGTTGGTGAGCTTCCTCCTTTCTTTGCCCTGTTAATGAAGCCGTTACAATCAATTTCACAAGGAGTTGATCTGACTGGTAATTGGCATTGGAGTCCACCCGGAAGGTCTGAGAATGAATTTGATTCATCCAAGGTTTTGAAGCATTTCACTATGGACAACATAAATGCCCATTCTTGGAAGACGAGATATGGTTTTTTGCACGTAATTGAAGATATTATTTTAGTTTTTGATGAACTACATATTAGTTCTTTTCTTGATCTCTTAATGGGGAGTGTTGTCCGGATACTGGTGAGCTGCACATCAACTCTTGATCGGACAAAGAGCAATGGATTGTCTTCTGAGGAAAATGATTCCAGCTTCAACTTGACCGTAATGGAGAAAGAAGGTGGAGTGATGAATGATATCATGGTAATAGTACGAATCTGCTGGAACATTGTGTTAAACATAACTTGGTGAATGACTAGAAGGGAGAACATAAAAACGAAGTAGTGGATGAATGGTTGCATCCATTGTTTCTCAAGTTGTGGTATAGCTGAGGTTAAAATATAACTTACATTGATGCAGCCGCATAGATTAATACTTCCCAACAGCTTATATTTATTTTCCATGCCCGATTCCTCCCACACTCCACATAACTGTTTAGGGACAAAATAATTATCCGTGGTATAGTTTTAGATTCACGTTTATATCTTTTTCTTTCCTTTTTTGGTAAGATGTATAATCTGGTATTTTGTCAGCATTATGGGCATTCACTGTAGATTTTGGTCAAACATATGCAATGAAGAATAAAGAAAGTAACATGCAGTTCAGTTCCTATAAATAAGGGTTTAGAAGGGGTGGATTTGCTGCATATTTGACCTCTGGCATTATTGCACAAGGTGGCTACTGTCAGATTTGAATGCAAAACGTCAAGATTATTGTTAACCATTGAACCAGTAGCTACCTAAAGTAACATGTTCAATAATTAAGCCTTCATCAGTCACAGAATAAAAAAAATACAACTTCCTGACCTATAATCTTTGTTGGTGTGCAGACTAGCAAGGCTATGAAGCAGTTCAAGGATATGAGATCTCTATGCCTGAAGATTATTTCTTTGGTTCTTAGTAAATATGAAGATCATGATTTTGATTCTGAATTTTGGGACCTCTTCTTTATGTCAGTGAAACCTTTAGTCGAAGGTTTCAAGCAAGAATGTGCAAGTAGCGAGAAGCCAAGTTCTCTTTTCTCTTGCTTTCTCGCTATGAGTAGGAGCTACAAACTTGTACCTTTACTATATAGGGACAAGAATCTTGTTCCAGATATCTTCTCAATTTTAACAGTCACAACAGCATCTGAAGCCATTGTATCTTGTGTTCTCAAGTTTATTGAGAACCTACTGCATCTTGAGAGTGAGTTGGATAATGAAGACAATTCTATCAAGGGAGTGCTACTTCCTAATCTTGACGCACTTGTCAGCGGCTTGCATCGTCTTTTCACGTGTGACAATGCGACAAAGAGGTATAAAGATTGCCCTATGATCTGCTTGTCTGTTGCCCAGATGTAGTAAGATTGCTAGAGCTAATTATGACTGGGTTTGATTGTTTTGAACTTCTTAGATGCTAGAAACAATGCTTTTATGTAATTTGGTTTATTATTCAGGATATAGTTTTCCAAGCACCATCATGTAATGTTCTTGTTAGATGCCTAAGCAGCTTGGTATACTTTGCATAGATGTCTATGTGATTCGAATTCTAGGAGCGCAAGAAATATGCTACACATAAAGTGGTTGGCGAAGATAACTTCAATTTATAGCTGGGGTGGGTTCTTACTGCAATAGTAAAGCTCAGACTGTTGAGAGAATGCTGATTGGAGTTTATGGCTTGGTTAGGTGAATACCGGACGGGATTAAACCTGTGCCCAGTAGCTTTATGTAAACAAAAGCGTAGTATTAGAAGTTGATTTTAGTGGCAGTTATAGTACAAATAACCGGAAAGATATAACAGATACATAATATAATCTTGCATGAGCATGATATTTCAAAAGCCATTGATGGAAAGTGGATCCAATTTCTTCCAGAGAAAGCAATGCAAGTTGAATTTTTTCATAAACTCTATTTTGTGTTGACGAAAATACTGAGTGTAGTATTCATCACCTCCAGGCAATGGGTCTGGCTTCAGTAAATCTTTTTTTATGTGCAATATTGTTTCTTATAAACTCACTATGATGTTCTAAATTTCCTCTCCTTGATTCCTGGTGCGCTCTAACCATGTATATCTTCCTATTATGCAAAATTCACCTTGCATGTACACATTTTACATGGCTTTAAGCTTGTTAGTCAACCAATAGTTGGTCAATTTTAGTGATGTCTATGAAGATTTCGTCAATCTTTGATATACTTATTTTTGAACCTTTGCTTTCTTGGCATCTTCTAGAGGTTGGTCATTGTTAAAGGTTGTAGGCTTGTGAAGATATGTAGGGATGTTAAACGAAACGAGTAGTTTGGGCTTAGCTTAGGGCCCGACTCATTTTTGTCTCGCTCAAGGTCGTTCATTTTATAAAATGAGCCGAATCTGATCAATTTTTCAAGCTCATTTTATATCCGAGTTGAGTTCAAACCCGCAGCAAGCTATTCGCAAGCCGACTCATTTATCATTCATAAGTGTTTTTTTACCCGTTTACCATTAATACCGAACAAGGTTAATGAAGATTTTTTGGGGTATATTTGTACGACTGCTACCCACTCCTCTTTCCCCTGTGTCTCTCCAGAAAAGGATATACCTTGAGCTTGCCCCCAAACCACGTGATATCTGACTCTCTCTCTCTCTCTCACACACACACACGCACACACACAAACACACACATGATAAAGTTGAATAGCCCCCAAAATCCCCAATCTTATGTTAAGCACGCNATACCTTGAGCTTGCCCCCAAACCACGTGATATCTGACTCTCTCTCTCTCTCTCACGCACACACACAAACACACACATGATAAAGTTGAATAGCCCCCAAAATCCCCAATCTTATGTTAAGCACGCCGACTAAGAGTAACTTCTTCCTCATTTCTCCCTCAGAAACGGAAAATTTCTTACTCTTTCTTCCATTGCTTTGTTTCCATGGGTCTCTTCCTCATTAACCGTCTAACAACTCTTGGTTTCCAGATCTCCACAAAATTACCACAATCATCACCAAGCTCAAACCCCAGATTGAATCAACACCCTGTTATCCCAATGAGTTGGTATTAGAAGCTGGAGAACTTGATCACTTCATCCAAGGCTGGCCGATGTATATAGTTGTATGTGTATATGGGGTCTATTTGTAAGTCTTCCTCAGTTTTTGATTTTTTGTTGTTAGGGTTTTTATTTGAATTTGGATTTCTGTAAATGTTATGAGAAATTTATAAATTTTAATTTTAGATTTGTTAGTTGAGACTTGTAAATTGGAATTTTCAGATCTGTGAAGGGTGGATTCTAGATTTAGCATTAGAGCTCGGTTTTGGCTGGAGCTCAGTTGAGTCGAGCTTGAACAAAAATTCAAGCTCGGTAGCTCAAGCCGAACTTGAACAACTCTTCAAACACTCAGGCCGAGACTGAGCATCCCCAAGCTCGGAAGGCTCGACTGGATTAACACCCCTAAGTATATGTGTGAGGTAATTTGTGCAGCTAGTAGGTTGCCTATTTCATATACATTAGATTGACTGTTTCAGGATTAGGGTTTACTATTTGTCACTTTAGAATTTATTTTCATTTATATATGTGAGCACTGTTGGTGAATATTAATTACTGGTAGATAGCTTCACGGTAAAATACACTGAAGCTAATACTAGGACTTTCTAGATATTCAGCAAAACGTATGTTAACACTTTCCCGAACCACCTCCACACCATGTGCACGAAACTATAGAAAAGCAAGAATATCAGACTGCCTCCATAATATGCTGTGCAAAGGTGAACTTTGGCAGCAAACATTTTATCCATAGAAGCCTAATCAAAGCAGTCTCTGAAAAAAACCTGAGCATTACATGCCATAGAGTTGTATAAACGAAACAGAAAAAAGCACTATAAGCACAAAAGAAAACTGGGAGTAGTTGGAGAAGAAGGCATGGTAAAGAAAGGAAAAATAGGTCATTACCCAACTTGGTCCTTGTCTATGGAAGACTAAGCAGAAATGTGACCTTTTCATGATTTGCACAAAGCTGCTTCTCTTAGATTTGAACACAAACCTGGTGGTGGTTAACCCAAGCGTTTTACCACTGCAATAGGCAATGAACCCCGGTTAGAAGCAATATTAGAAAGAGGGAAACAATGGGGAGAAAGATTCAGGTACGAATTATGAGAAACGTGTTCTTACTATTTTTGTTTGAATTTGTTTGGACCAAGGAAAATGTGAAAGGTGTTTACAGAGAAGGCCTCCAAGCTTCTATTGTATTTTTTTGTAGAGCATAAGTGTGTATGAGATCAAGAAGAGATGACCACAAGTAGATGATGCAGAGAAAAAATGATAGAGGATAAGGTGTATTGGAGCTAAAGTAGAGGTCAGAGTGAAGAGAGGGAAGCTGTTAGGGCAAGAATATAACAAAACCCTAAAGAGCTTGGGATCCTTGATATAGGTTCCCTTTGCTTACATGCCAATTGCTAATGTGATCTTTATTGTGTTGCTCAAGTTGTTTAAGTTGTATACCCATGGATCAAAATTTTGTTTCAGTGCATTGTTTCGCTCACCTACGAAACGAAAATATTTCGACCTATTTTGGAAATATTTTGACCTGCTTCAGAAACAGAATAAAAAAATAAAAAATTTAAGAATTATTTTTTCAGAACATTGGTTGAAATATACTAAAGTATCTTGAATATCTTGAAACATTTTGAAATAATTGTGCAAATGTATTGAAACATTACAAAACACCTCAAAACATTATGAAACATTTCAAAGTATTAGAATTTTAATTCCATTATTGATTCGTATCGGTCTCCTTAGAAACATAAATATTTCAAAATGAAATTTTGATCTTTGGGTATACGCCCTTTCAACAGTTTAAGTTGATGTGGACATTATAAGTTATAAATGCTCCAAAATAAATTCAAAGTGTAAGGGTGACTGAAAAATAAAACTACCACCGAAGTCCACGAACCAAATTTCATGCTGTGTAAGTACTTAAATAAATCTTTCTACATTCCATTTTGAGATAGAAATTCATCTCTAAACATGAGCTTGAAGCTTCTTAACTCCCGCCATGTTGTCTTTGTTATTTTGTTCTTTCGTATCCTTTATGTTAGAATTATTGCCTTTATTTGTCACTCTTACCATCATTTGAAAGACGTATTGAAGAGAAAATGTGCCTAATTTTTTGTTACAACAGGGGCGTGACCTTGTTTTTTGTTCCTCCTTTTCTTGCCTCGAAACTTGATCATCAATTCTCCCCCTCCATATTCTCACTTCCTCTAGCACCACGTGTTTTGTAATCTAACCATTCATGGGTTCTTAAAGAACAACATCCCTCCTACTATGATAGAGATTGAAACATTCATGCGCCTAGGCCCTTGCAAGGTTCAAGTTGAGATGAAGTGCACCTGAAGCGCTTCAATCAGTGTGAGATGAGGACTTCGTTGAGGCACAGTTAAGGTGCACGGATTATGCAGCTTGGGCTTAAGCCCAAAAGGCATGAGGCAAGGGTTCCCCCCCCTCCCCTTAAGTTACATATTTTGGCGCATTTATATATTTACTTTGATTGGCATATTTGGTATGTACAAAACCATACTAGAACTCTATGGATAAAATTGGAATTCCAACCCTAAACTCTACCTATGAACTTCACATATCCAATCAAAATCTAACTCAAAGATAAATATCTGTTTGTGATATCTGTCTTTTACTTTTTCATCCGTATCGTCTTTCTCTCTCTTTGTCAGTGTCTTTCCTTCTCTTTGCATCTCTCTTCCTCTCTCTTAGCCCGTAGTTTACTAAAAACGTAAACATTATTTTTGTGGTTTAGTTGGTTCCTAATAGTGTGAAATTAGTCTTTAGTTCTGAAAAATACATATTTTCGCTCCCCCTCCCCCCTCTNTTAGTTGGTTCCTAATAGTGTGAAATTAGTCTTTAGTTCTGAAAAATACATATTTTGGCTCTGTTCTAGTCTTCCCCTCCCCCCTTTGTTTAGGAATTTTTTTACAAATTTTCAGTTCCCTGTGAGGTTCAAATCGGTTAAGGATGCTAATATACATCATATAATTGATACTTAATGTAATTTGCTGAAACTTAATGCAAAAAAGTTTATTATTATTATTAAGGAATCTTTTTGTANCCCCTCCCCCCTCTGTTTAGGAATTTTTTTACAAATTTTCAGTTCCCTGTGAGGTTCAAATCGGTTAAGGATGCTAATATACATCATATAATTGATACTTAATGTAATTTGCTGAAACTTAATGCAAAAAAGTTGATTATTATTATTAAGGAATCTTTTTGTAATTTGTTATGTGTTGAAATGAATTGAAATGAGTTGNATACATCATATAATTGATACTTAATGTAATTTGCTGAAACTTAATGCAAAAAAGTTTATTATTATTATTAAGGAATCTTTTTGTAATTTGTTATGTGTTGAAATGAATTGAAATGAGTTGTATCTTACATTAAAAAAAAAAATGAGTTGTATCTGCTTTTTTGTATGGGACTAGCTTTATTTGTAGAATATTATTGAAATATGCTTTTGAGATGAGTTGTATTTATTCAGTGGTCTCTAAAATTTGTTGCATCCAGTTGTATTATATGCCATGAAAAATTTAAAAACATAATAACGGAAAAAAAAGATGCTCATCTAAGTTCATGTCACTATCCTATCAAGGTTAAGGGCAAACAATTGCACATTCTTAAACTCTTTAGCAATCGAAGGCCAAAGGAAACTCGAAATTTTATGCTCTCAAAGAAGCTCCCCACATTCTTTTGTCTCAGAAGATTTGACATTTCATTTCTTTCAATATTGCCCTACTCCTTTTTGTGTAAATGCCATAAAGCAACACATCTAGGATTGCCCAACCAAGGGTCAAAGTTTTGTTTCGATGCATTATTTTGGTCACCTAGGAAATGGAAACATTTCAACGAGTTTTGGAAAAGTTTTGACCTGTTTTCAGAAATAGAATGAAAAAAATAAAAAAATATTATTTTTTTAAAACATTGGTCAAAATTTACCAAAGTATCTTGAAACATTTCAACACAATTGTGCAAATGCATTGAAACACTACAAAACACCTCGAAGTTTTAAAATTTTAATTTCATCACTGATTTGTTTCAATTTCCTTGGAAACGGAAACATTTCAGNAATATTATTTTTTTAAAACATTGGTCAAAATTTACCAAAGTATCTTGAAACATTTCGACACAATTGTGCAAATGCATTGAAACACTACAAAACACCTCGAAATATTATGAAACACCTCGAAGTTTTAAAATTTTAATTTCATCACTGATTTGTTTCAATTTCCTTGGAAACGGAAACATTTCAGATGTTTTGAAACAAAATTTTGATCCTTGTGCCGAACTCAAACTAAACTCACCAAGAGCTCTATAACACTTCATCAAGGCCACTGGGCATTGGAGGAAGAAATGATCAAGAATTTTACAACATCTTTTGCACATTACACACCATCGAGGAGAAAGACGAGAAGTTGGTCTTCTCCCTTGCAATAAATTAAAAGTATTAAGCTTTCCATGAGCTAAAGTCCATGTGAAAAAATGCACCTTAATAGACACTTTAACCTTCCAAATCATCTTATGTGGTTAAACAACTGAGAAAATATTATCTATTACATGTCTCGGTTTGTTGAAGCCTGTGTCTCGCTTTGTACCTCGCTTCTTGCTCCTAGGGCCCTATAGTCTATAGGAGACCTTGGCCCCGCGGTGTGTCTTTCGCCTTGGATAACGTTGGATGGAAGGATAATGTGAGATAAGGTTGCAATAAATAAGGCCAAAGCCATGCTATCACTATGGAAAAATCACATCGTGGCATCAAGTGTTTGATTCTTACTGCTATTAATTAGAGACAGATTGGGTAAGTGTTGCATAGATGAATGTTACATACACTAAGGCTGCCAACATAGCTGATACTAACCACCATGTTAACCTGCTTAGAGTTGATAGAATAATGCTCAAGTTTTAACTGGTTTATGACTCAGATATGACTATGTAGGCCCACTGGGTGTAAATTTTAGCTTAGATTTTGGCATGTTCTCTTATATGCTGATTGAAATAAACCTGTTGACATTCGAATGTCACAAACTTTAAGCTCTTTTCTTGAGGTAGTTCTGTTCCTGGACTGTTAGGTCTGGTAGACATCTTTATCTTTTCCCCATCTTGAATCATAAGTTCTCGTATCATTTCTCCACTATAGAAAACATTTGTGCTTTGCTTTTTGAAATGTTATTCTAGCTCCTTTCTATGCCTCAAAAAACTCACCTGTTACCAATGAGTTGATGGTTTGATAACTTTTTGTTTTATGACTAACTATTTTTGTGACACTAGGAAATTGGTCCAATTTCCTGGGGAAAGAGAGCTCGGCATTTTTAAACTATTATCCAAGTACATAAAGGATCCTTCAGCTGCAAGGAAATTTATTGACATTTTGCTCCCGCTTGTAGCCAAGAAGCCTCATCACTCCGGTTAGTGTATCACCATATTTATGGGATGTGTTTTTTGTTTTATTTAAATTTTGTTGATCGATATTACTCATTATTGTTTTGCTTGCAGATGCATGTGTGGAAGCTTTGGTGGTCATTCGACATATAATACCTATATTAAGGAGTGAAAGTACTGTAAAAATTCTGAACACAGTTTCTCCGCTTCTTATTTCTTCTGGACTGGATGTTCGGATGTCTATTTGTGGGGTTCTTGATGCACTTGCTGGAAATGATTCTTCTGTGCTCCCTGTGGTAATGCGGGCCCTTCTATGTTCCTTTTTAATTTTTTTTAAGGATTCCCAATTTACTTAAATTTCATTTTCTTGTAATTTGTGAATGGAGTTCAGGCAAAACTTCTTCATGAACTGAATGCAACATCTTCCATGGAGATGGGTGGCCTTGACTATGACACCATAATTGGTGCCTATGAAAAGATCAACACAAGCTTTTTCTACACCGTCCAAGAGGAGCATGCTTTAGTCCTTTTGTCACATTCTGTATATGACATGTCTTCTGAAGAGTTGATTTTGAGGCAGAGTGCCTTTAGATTATTGCTTTCATTTGTTGAATTTTCTGGGGAAATCCTTGATTTAGATGTCAACTCCAAGCAAGAGTATTGGTCGGGAGCATGCATTCAGCGCATGATAAACAAATTCCTTCTGAGACATATGGGGGATGCAATGACCAAACAAGCTTCTGTTCAGAAGGTATTAACTTAGAAAACAGGAACTATAATCTTAGCCAGCTCCTCCCTCTCGAGGCCCCTGGCCTACCCTGGTGTCCTATTTTTCTCTCTTTTTAGTTGTACCACTTGAAACGACAAGAGATTCTGCCCAGTGAAGGTAACTGAATAGGGTAGGAAACAAGCGAGTGTAAAGAGAAAGAAATACTGATGCTATGTTCATGTTCTTCTTCTTCTTCTTCTTCTTATGGTTATTCACTTATTCTCATTATTATGATTTTGGGTGTAAGGAGGGGAGGGGCTGATTTCAAGGTGTCAGATGAGCCTATACAGTGAGAGTTTGTAGAATTTTTTATTTGGATTAATATTTAGGAATTTCTTACTATAATTTCAAATTTCATTAACTATTGTTATTATCTGAATCATGAATGGGTCTGATCTCAGTTATGGATTGATTTACTGCGAGAAATGGTGCTGAAGCTGCCGAAAGAGCCAAATCTTAAGTCGTGTAGGGCCCTATGCAGTGGCGATGCAGAGCAGGATTTCTTCAACAACATTATTCATTTACAAGTGAGTTCTTCTTGTCATCTGGTTTGAAAGTTCAATTCTAAAATCGATTTGTAAGTGAAGTTGACTTGTATATTGTTTCACTTGTGTTGTCTAATTACTTGGTGATCTGTACTGTTGCCACTTGTTTATATTGTCGAGGGTGATCTTTTTATTAAACAACACCATACATGTGTCGTGTCAATTTGGCCAACATGAACAGAGATTTACTAATGCCATAAGCTGTTTCTTATTCATCCGACCATTTTGTTCTCTTTTCTTCAAATTCAATGAATATTACACTTGATATCATATAACTTTGGGATCAAGTAGCAGCCAAAGAATGTGCAGTTAAGTTTCGTTGTGTTCCATCTGATGTGAGCAAATTTGTTCTCACAGAAGCACAGAAGAGCAAAGGCATTGACTCGCTGTAAAAATATTATCAGTTCTGGCACTTTGTCTGAGGTATTTTTTTTGACGTTTTATTTGGTTCACTAGAACTTTTATTTTGGTATTTTGTTACTTATATCTTGCAATGTGGTTATAAACATCCAGGTTATAACGAATAAAGTGTTCATTCCACTCCTTTTCAATATGTTATTTGATGTAAAAGATGGAAAGGGAGAACATGTCAGAAGCACGTGTGTGGAGGCTCTAGCATCGATTGCTGGTTGCATGGAATGGAACTCGTACTATGCATTTCTCGTTAGATGCTTTCGAGACATGACCTTGAAACCAGAAAAGCAAAAGGTTTTGTTGAGGTTAATCTTCTCTATCCTAGACCACTTTCATTTCTCAGAAACTCACTCCAGCCATGAAACCAAGAATTCTGGTGGGGATTCAATTCCTGGGATCATTCAAGTGAGTTCTGCAACAGTGCCAAACAAATGTACTGGTTCTGCGGTACTTTCAGACATACAGACATGCCTTCACAAAAATATTCTCCCTAAAGTGCAAAAATTGTTGGCAGCGGATTCTGATAAGGTCAATGTCAACATCAGTCTTGTTGCACTAAAGCTAATGAAATTGCTTCCTGGTGATATCATGGAAACACAGCTTCCAAATATCATTCATCGCATTTCAAACTTCTTAAAGAGTCGTTTGGAAAGCATTCGGGATGAAGCTAGGTCTGCTTTAGCTGCTTGTTTGAAGGAGTTGGGCCTTGAGTACTTGCAGTTTATAGTCAAAGTTTTGAAAACCACTCTGAAAAGAGGGTNTCAAACTTCTTAAAGAGTCGTTTGGAAAGCATTCGGGATGAAGCTAGGTCTGCTTTGGCTGCTTGTTTGAAGGAGTTGGGCCTTGAGTACTTGCAGTTTATAGTCAAAGTTTTGAAAACCACTCTGAAAAGAGGCTATGAATTGCATGTGCTCGGATACACACTCAATTTCATATTATCGAAATGTCCTCCAAATCTTATTAGTGGGAAGTTGGATTATTGTTTAGATGAGCTTCTTTCTGTGGTAGAAAATGATATTCTTGGAGATGTTTCGGAGGAAAAAGAGGTGGATAAGATAGCTTCTAAGATGAAAGAGACTAAAAAGAACAAGTCGTTTGAAACCCTCAAATTGATTGCCCAAAACGTCTCATTCAAAGCACATGCCTTGAAGCTACTTTCACCTGTTACAGTTCACCTGCAGAAGCAGTTGACCCCAAAAGTGAAGACAAAATTGGAAACTATGTTAGATCACATAGCTGCAGGTATTGAATGCAATCCATCAGTAGATCAGTCTGATCTCTTTATCTTCACATATGGTCTCATTGAAGATGGCATCGTTGATGAGAAGCATAAACAGGAAAATTCATCTATTACAAAGGCACAACATAAAGATGAAGTGAACAGTAAAATTACCAACACGGGCAGGCTAACTACTGCTGACCCACGAGGTTCACATCATATTACGGTATTTGCCCTTGGGCTACTGCACAATCGCATGAAGCACATGAAACTCTACAAAAATGACGAACCAACATTACCAATGTTGGATCCATTCATCAAATTGCTGTGTGACTGCTTGAGCTCAAAGTACGAAGATGTCATAGCTGGAGCACTTAGATGCCTTTCTCCGCTGGTGAGGTTGCCTCTTCCATCCCTCGAGTCCCAAGCCGACAAGATAAAGACTTCACTGTTGGTTATTGCTCATGGTTCAGTAAATACTAGCAGTCCTCTGGTGGAGTCGTGTTTGAAGTTGTTAACAGGGCTTCTACGGAGCACTAGAATCACACTTTCCACTGATCAATTGAATATGTTGATTCAGTTTCCATTATTTGTAGATCTTGAAAGAAATCCTTCATTTATTGCCCTTTCACTTCTGAAGGCAATAGTGAACCGGAAGCTGGTGGTTCATGAGATATATGACGTTGTCAACCGGGTTGCGGAATTGATGGTAACAAGTCAAGTGGAACCAATTCGCAAGAAATGCAGTCAAATTTTATTGCAATTCTTACTTGACTACCGTCTCTCACAAAAGCGCTTCCAACAACATCTTGATTTCTTGTTGGCAAATTTGAGGCATGGACATGTCAACCAATCTTTGCAATTTTTTGATTATGTACGTTTTAATTTTTGTGACAATATTTGATCTTTATCATAGGTATGAGCATTCGACTGGAAGAGAAGCCGTGCTTGAAATGCTCCATGCTATTATATTCAAGTTTCCGAAGATTGTTGTAGATGAGCAGTGTCAGACGATATTTATCCATTTGGTAGTTTGTTTGACTAATGACCATGACAACAAAGTCCGTTCTATGACTGGTGCTGCTATAAAACTTCTGATTGGGCGTGTGAGCCCGCATTCACTTCATTCAATTCTTGAGTATAGTCTGTCGTGGTATTTGGGTGGGAAGCAGCATTTGTGGAGTGCTGCAGCACAGGTAAAGTGACTAAAATTTATCATATGCTTTACAGTAAAGTTACAGTAAAATTTATCATAAGCTTTACAGTAAATTTATCATATATGCATGTTACAGTAAAGTTGCCCAAATATATAGCTATCTGATCATTTGTTTTGATCAAATTTGGTATCAATGGATGACACATTGGCTGCCGCTTGAGGCCTAACCAAGGATCAAAATATCGTTTTGAAACGCTTGAAACGTTTCCGTTTCCAAGTAGACCGAAACGAATTAGTGATGGAATCGAAATTTTAATATTTTGAGGTGTTCCACAATTTTTCGAAATGTTGTTATATTTCAATACATTTGTATGATTATTACGGAATGTTTTAAGGTATTTCAAGATGTTCCGTTTCCTAGGCGACCGAAACAATGCACTGAAATGAAATTTTGATCCTTGGGCCTACCTATATTAATCTCTTACATCTTGAGAGTGGGAGTAGACCCTGACGCAATTTTGTTATCGGACGACTGGATGTTTACTTTTTTGTGCACAAAACATAAGCGTAGAACATATGGAAATTCTTTTTTGTAGATTTGTTATTTCATTCTTCATGCGAGAATGGTATTTCAGAAGCTGTCTTGTTTCACCTGTTTGTTTGTACACTTAAATGTACTTTCATCTATATACCCCTCTTCTCTTCTTCACCTTATGTGTTCATTAAGAACTATGTAGGCTGGAATCTGATATGAATTATGAGTGGAAATACTTTTACCTTCTATGTTTCACACTTTTACTATTAGTTTAGTATTGTTCTATGTTTTGTGGTTTTAAAACATTTTTGTGCAGGTCTTGGGGTTACTTGTCGAAGTCATGAAAAAAGGCTTTCAAAGACATATTAGTAGTGTATTACCTGTGATGAGAAGCATTTTAGAGTCGTCTGTCAATGTTCTTACAGATAGGCAGCTAGATCTTTCTGATGAAGCAATGGTTCCCTCTTGGAGGGAGGCATATTATTCGCTTGTTATGCTGGAGAAGATGCTGCAGCAGTTCCATGATTTGTGCTTGGAAAGGGATCTTGAGGTACTATGCTACTGCTTATATTTGGGAATAGACATGCATACTGTTTTTTACATTGCATGCATGATTTAGTTTCCTGGAAATTTTTTTCATGATTTTCAGGTAAAACCTCTTAATTTTGTATCACTCTAGCTTTGTTTTTCTTTGTGATATGTTGCTTATGCTGTAGAAGTCTGATGACTTTCTTGAGTAGACTACCTCTTGTAGTGTTACAAACTGGTTTTATGAGTGAGAGAAAGGTGCTAGGCTATGCATGCGCACACATTCTTTGGAGATGAAAGATTGAAGGCATGTTTACTAGAAAGACAAAGTTCAGTTAATTTGGGTTGCGTCTATTTTGCACTTGAAGAATAATTATGTTATTGAGGCTTTTGTTTAGTTCACATAGTATGTATGATTGTCACTGGCAGTGGTGGAGGCTGGGGGATCCCAAGTGGTACAATTATCTCTTTTGAGCTTTGCAAAAATTTTGGTTGCTATGTGTTGTATTTATGCTTCATATATAAGTTCAAGCCCTAATCCTTGTTTAGTATGATTACCCACTAGTATGCATTAGATTTTGCTAGTTGAAGTTGTCAATTTAGCATCCTTCCTTTATTAGAAACTTAACCGAGTGTCCTAATTAAATTCTCATTTTAACTTGCAATTCATATCAGTAACTACTAAGAAGCATCAATACGGACCCAAGAAATGAATACGAACGATAGGAACACACGGACACGGCATAGTGTAAGAAGAGCATTTGCAAGTTCTTCAAGTTTATTAATTAAANAATTCATATCAGTAACTACTAAGAAGCATCAATACGGACCCAAGAAATGAATACGACACGATAGGAACACACGGACACGGCATAGTGTAAGAAGAGCATTTGCAAGTTCTTCAAGTTTATTAATTAAATGTCGACAATGAATGTGATTAAAAGATAACCCGACACGTCTCCGCCACGGATATGCCACATTCTTAAGAGTGCTCCTGCTTCTTGGATTAACTAGGGTGATCATGCATCATTGTTAGGTGGTTTCTACAGATTTCTTTTCGGTGGTTGGGTTTATGTTCTAACTATTTGTTTTAGAGTCACTGTTTCTTTTCTCTTTGTTATTCACCACCCTTCTTATTTTTGCCTTTTACAATGCTAAAGGTAAGTAAATATCTGTTTCATTTTGGAAGGTGCAACTGTTAAGGTGCTGTTTGGTGCTACTTTCTATGCTATGGTTCAGTAGTCTAAAAGCGCTTTTCAATTTGGAAGTTGTTTGTAGGCATATAATTTTGGTGAATCACATCAGTACTGTTTGCAATAGAGGTTTCATTTTCATAGCATTTTCGAAATAACATACGGATTCATACTTTTCAAAGTAGTTTGCATGTAAATTTCAAGCCCTATATCATATGTATTCCATTACCAAACAGATAAAGCACTTCCACTGTTATGAGTGGAACAGAAATTACTTCCCTGAATATTTTCTAGCTTTTCAACAATCAGCATTTTTTTTCTATAGCTCCACTAAAGTGCTTCAGTGGAAGATATAGCAATTCCAAACAAGTCCCAAATCCTGATTCCCCACCCAAAAACAGGGCATTGCTATTTGTCACCGTTCGGTAGTTTTCTTGGGAGTAATAAATTCGCATGCTGGAAATAGTTACCTTTGAAATGCTGTAGTGGTACTGTAGCTAGTAGTTGCGCTATTGTCATGAACCTGTCCAACAGCATAGCATATTGTCTACTTTTGGTAACCTCTCATGAATTTAAACAGTGTCCAATAATCTTTTGTACCAACAATCTTTTTGACCTGCACGGGACGAAGACACGGACTTGACATCTCAGCCTCACCACACCTTACTCATTTTGGCCCTCCGCTCCAGGAATTTAGCCAGTTGGACTCTTGTCTACTGCAATCCATCCCCCTACACATATTCTCATGTGGGACTCGCCCCCAGCACTACACAGTAGGTCTACCTTTGATTTCATATTTTGCATCTCAATTTCTAGTCTCACTTGTACCTGGTAGGCGGGTTAACTCAATATCAAATGCAGCACTAAAATCTCCATATTACAGTAAATCTCCCAATTTTGATACAACTATTGTTTCCAGTTCTGGAAATATTTCTATCCCAAACTCATCCTTTATTTCGAATTCTGCCTGCATTGTGGTATAAACATGATGGTGAGTTATACTACCTAGTGAATAGGATAAGCCCACAATATGACATGAATAAACAATAATCAGCACAAACTCAAGGAAATATCTGGAACCGAACTGGACATAGATGTCAAATGATATATAAATCATATTTTGGACATCACTCCTCATCTCATATGTCATGTGAGACCTGGACACGGACTGAGCGTCTTAACAACATCCTCACCTTATCTCGTAGGCCCTTTTGGGCTATTTGAAGGGTTAGGACTATCGGTTACAATGATCAATGCCAAAATCCACAAAAGCATGATCTACATACTCAAATTGAAATTCAATTGGCATTTTAGAATAATCACGTTACAGAGATAAATTGCAGACTCAGATATAGTTAAATGAATACACTTCGGAAAATTTTTTTTGGGACAAAACACCATTAATACAAACCATCCCTTTTGACCTAAGTCTTGTCGACACCAGTAGATATGAACCTCATGTCACCAAAATTGTCATACTTAAATTTTATCTTATAAGAAATCACAATTTGCTGCATTTACCAGTTCCCACTAGTTTTCTCCGTACCTATCTTTCTTTGCTATATTCACCCTTCTCTCTCTCTCTCTCACACATTTGCTTGTTCACACAGCACATGCCCACGATATATACTCGCACACACCTCATTTTTGGTGGACACTTCTCACTTTTGGTTTTTCTCACGACTTTGAAATGCACCACAGCAGTTTATGACGAGCATCTACAGGTACAGTTAAATGTTCTTTTCTATCTTGGGGATGTGAGGCAAGTACATGGAGTTGACACCTCACCTCTCCTCATCCATCTTGGCCCACAGCCTTGGGACTCTTGGCCATTCATACATAAAAGAGTTATTTATATAAAATAATACAATTGAGGCGCCTCAATGACAGATGGAAATGACACCTGTAATTTCAGGCTAGATTTGACATTTTTACATTCCCCTTGAACCTTTAATAGTTATATTTTGGCCCAAAGAGAGAGTTTGTATTTTCATAGGTTGCAGTTTAACTCCTTACCGATTTAAGAACTGCTGTATATGATTATTATCTTGGATGGGGTGCCACAAATACATGCAAAATAGTCTAAAAGTTGAAGTGTGAGGTGGTTTGGCACCTTGATATTTTAGAACACCGGGTAGCTTAAAGGAGTATTTGTTTATATGTTCTAGGTTTGCACAGGTTAGCTGATTTTCCTAAGTTCCGTTGTGGAGCGTTGTCTAGATGAATTGTGGGGTTACCCTACTTTTTTTTGGGATTTATTGCACACCAATTTTTTTTTTATTGAGTGTTCTTTGTATCTTTTTTACTTTCCTGAATTGTTTGGATGAGGTTTTGTTGAGTCGCAAATTTGTCTCATTCACCTATTTATGTATGTAAGTTTTTAATTTTTCTCCCTGTTAACTCCATGGGATTGCCTTGAAGCATTTCTCCGCATTATCATTTATCAAAGAGAAATTGTTTCCAGGTTAATTAAATATCATAAAAATTGCTGATGGCTGCTGTTGGTGATTTTTCACCTCCCTATTTCCTATGTTTTAGGGTTTGATCTGTCATCCTTTCTTAATTTGCAGGATATATGGGAAACAATCTGTGAGCTCCTTTTGCATCCACACATGTGGCTGCGCAATGTATCGAATCGCCTTGTGGCCTTATACTTCGCCACAGTAACTGAGGCTTGCAGAGAAAATCACGNATTTGCAGGATATATGGGAAACAATCTGTGAGCTCCTTTTGCATCCACACATGTGGTTGCGCAATGTATCGAATCGCCTTGTGGCCTTATACTTCGCCACAGTAACTGAGGCTTGCAGAGAAAATCAAGAGAAGTCGGCGGGAAAATATTGTCTGATGAGGCCAAGTAGACTTTTTCTTATAGCTATGTCTCTCTGCTGCCAACTGAAAGTGCAACTCACTGACGATGCAGCCAACTCCTTGATTACTCAGAATCTTGTGTTTTCAATTTGTGGAGTACATTCCTTGGTAGGACAAAATAATATGGATCCTCAAGACTTCTGGTCTACTGTTGAACATCGTGATCAAGCCCGCTATCTTAAAGTGTTTCATTTGCTTGATTCGAGAAAAGGAAGAGGCGAGTTTGCATCTCTTGCATCTGGTTTTAATGGTCAAAATGATCAACAAAATAGTGAGCACTATCATCACGTGCTCATCATTTATCTCCTTAAGAGAATGGGGAAGATTGCCCTTCAGATGGAAGCTATTCAGGTGTGTCTGCTGGGATTAGGACACTGGATAATTGTTCATGTGCTTAGCCTTCTAAATATTTTTGCCATGATTTTTGTACTATCTATGTATTTCATACACCTGCTTGTACTGTTTTTGTGATACTTGTGCTAGAACGCCTTGATACCCCCTTGCAAATTCTCATCTTGTTTCTCTCCATTTTCCATCTTTGTGAGTTCCATATTTCTGATCTGTCAAAATTTTTATGCAGGTGAAAATTGTTTTTGATAGTTTCAAATCGATTTCACCAAAAATTCTTGGCCAATATGAAATTTCATCACCAAATGATGAGGATGGCTGCCAGAATTATGCTTATCATATGCTGCTACCTTTATACAAAGTCTCTGAAGGATTTGCTGGGAAAGTTATTCCGGGTGAGTTCTCTCACCATATACCTATTCAGACATTTGTGTTGGTGGGAGGGGGATCCATATCAGCATATTGGAACTTGTTTTTAGACATATAAACTCAGAATACCCAATCTTTCTTCCCCCTTTTGTGGTGGCTGCCTCCACGTGGCTGCACGCCATAGAGCATAAAGAACGATTTTTCGCTTTGCCACAGTGCATCTATTTTTGGTTTTCTGATGGCCTCAATATCACTTTGGCTTAGCTTCCCTGATTTCCTGCCTGTCTTGAATGTCACATTTTTGTCAATCAAATCTCCAAAAGTGAGAAACTGGACAACACATCGATTGACATCCATCCAGTTAGATTCTGACATCTTTTTAGTTCAGTATTTTAATCACTTCCATAATTTAATCTTACCGCTTTTGCAAAGTCATAATCTGCAATTTTTTGTTTTTCCTATCTTATTCCTCGTATCTTCCACTCAAATTTTCCTCAAAAATATTTATTTATTGAGACATTTTTATACGGAAACTTGTATCCTATATCAGATGATGTGAAGCAGTTGGCACAAGAGGCTTCTGAAACTATCAGAAATACTATAGGAATGCAGAATTTTGTTCAAGTTTACAGCCAGATCAGGAAAAACCTCAAGGCAAAGAGGGATAAGAGAAAGCACGAAGAAAAACTAATGGCTGTGGTTAATCCTATGCGAAATGCCAAGAGGAAGCTGAGGATTGCAGCCAAGCATCGAGCCAACAAGAAAAGGAAAATAACGACTTTCAGGATGGGAAAATGGAGGCTGCCTTAAAAACCAGAAAGCAAATGATGTAGTCAGATTGCTGAAGAGGCAAAAAAGAATGCATTTATTTGGCAGTTTCTGGCTTGGTCATTGGTCACAGATGGTTCTCATCTTGTTAATATAACAGTTTTCCGCTACATAGCTACCTTTACGATGTTTCTCTCCAAGTGCTGGCGTTTCCCTTGCAGAAACCCAGCATTAAATGTGCTGTTGAATGTGTGCATCAAAGAAATTATGGGAGACTGCAGCCTTGGGCACCTTGAAGATGAGTGGAAATGTGGCATGAGGATGACCTTTGTAAGTTAATTTTTAAGTTAAATGTTGATATGTAAATAAATATCCAAGTAGTTATGGATTGATATTTTTTGTTATTTATGGAGAGGCTATGCAAGTTTTTGATCGTATGGTACCCAAGCAGCCACTTTAAGAGTGTTGTAACTTTTCAAGGGCATCTTTGATGTCACATGAGCTTCTTGGCATGCTGCTTGTTAATACATTCCATGGGATTGACAGTCAGCCGGCTTGCCGTGTCCTGTGCTTCATTGCTAAAGAATGTCATGAGGTAAAGAAGTTTTTTCTTCATGGCATAATAAGTAATTAATATTAAGGGATAACCTTTTTCCCCCTTTTGGGATCATTACAGGTGACGAGTTGATTCATTGGGTAGGTTTGAAACCCTACCCCAACATCCTTGGAGTGTGCTTGGATCGCAGGTTAAAGGCGGGATAACATCAATAGGATAGGAGAAAAAAACATGTGGGATCTATTTATATCACGTTTGGTAATTAAAACAATGCATCGAAAATTCTACTCGGGTTTATCTTGACTTAGTTTGAAAATTAACTTTAACTTGTTTGTGTGGGTTAAATGAAACCCATGGAGGGGCAGAGATAATTTGGCTATCCATAAGATATCTCCGTATTATTATTATTATTATTCTACCCGTTTTTATTTGTTAACCCTAATATTGGCATGTTTCATTCTCTCATAGGGCTATTTGCATTTTCTCCATTCACACATGTTGCTGTTTAATATATTGCCTTGTATTCAATTGTACCACATGCACCACCATAATAAAATTAATTTAATTTATTGTTTTGCTCTTTAATATTATTTATTGTTNTATTCAATTGTACCACATGCACCACCATAATAAAATTAATTTAATTTATTGTTTTGCTCTTTAATATTATTTATTGTTTTAATTTATTGTTAAGGGCATAACGGTCAAAGATATCATATTATATCACCATTCTTCATGGATCCCACAGAAATGCATGTGTTACCCAAACACCGGGAAAGATAGGATATACTCATCGAATCTTAACCGGTTGATTTGTGGGTGAGTTTGGATTGGATAAGAAAAATATTTTTTTAAAGATTTTCAATCTAGTTCAACTCTACCATCCAAACACACTTCAACTTTAAACNTTGCAATTCATTTGAGCCGCCAAAATATACTAGTATCGCAGAAGTTTTTTTTGAAAACTTCCAACTTTAAAATTTGACAATCAATATTTATACAAATATCCTTAAAAAATCTCTATAGCAGTCATAAAATTGTACCCTATAAGTCACATTTCACAAAAATCTATCAGGTAAGGAAGGGTCCAGAGAGTGCATCTGGCTTTGAACTATTCTTGAGACTATTCATCTTTAGGATAGGTTGCCAGACAAAAAAAAGTAATAGGCAGGAACATGCGCGAGCCGAGCCGGGCCGAGTCACGTGTTACTTGGTTTTGGCTCATTTATAAAATAAGGGTATGTTTGAGATGATTTTTCACAAGTAGTTTTAGAATTTATGACTTCTCATGAACACTTAAAAAAAAAAAAATAGTGTTTAAAACAACTTATTTTAATTACTTCATAATAAGTCAAAAGTACTTCACCACCACCTCCACCACCACCATCATTGCCACTCCATCACCACCACCCAGTACCACCATCGTCCATTGTCACTACTATCACCACTGCCATCCTACTGTCGTCGCCACCATCACCACCATCGCCCACCACCACCACCACTACCCAATCACCACTCCCACCGCCCACCAACACCATCGTCTACCGTTGCCACCACCACCATTGCCAGCCCACCGCCGCCACCTCACCATAACTATCCATCACCACCACGCACTTTTGTTAAAATATTTTTTATTTAAGTATTTTTTTTTTGACATTCAAACGGTGTTGATTTATTAAACTACTTTTTTATAAAAATATTTTTGAGAAATACATATTTAAGAAGTATTTTCTGAATTTTATAAGTTCTCTCAAATGCAACCTAAGTTTAGTAATCTGATTGAATTGGGTTAATTTAGTAATTTGAATGATCATGGACGAGCCAAAATTGTTCCCAACTGAATCCAAGTTTCAGCGGCTTGGATAAATTGAAACTATTAGCTTAAAGATTGGAGTAGAGCCAGTTCTGAAAATACTAGTGCTATTGAAATGGCTAATTGAATGATGACAGTAGTCCTTAACCATTGTAGGAAATCAATATCAATAGGCATATGATATTAGAACGCAATGCAAATGTTCGTTCCTTTCGTGAAAACCCAAATTGACATCTCTTTGTTCAGAATTGAGATTCACACTAATGTAAATTTTTTTCATTTCGATTCAATTTTAGGTCACCAATAAACTCATTTGACATAAATTTATGACAGGTAATTACCATTGAGAGGGTTTGAGGAACTCAAAAAATGTACTAAAGGGATTCCAAATCCGTCTCTTCATGCCCTTTTGGTGAGTTTTCATATGTGGACATCTCGTTCTCCTTTCCCCTTCTGACTTTCCATCTCTCTACCAATTAATTCCTCATAGGTGATTCTATTGGAATCTCATGTTTCTCCACTCTCAGAGTCTCTCTGGCTCTCTCTGATTGATTTTTGTTAAACTCATACTCGATTCGTTTGAAGTCATGTGTAGTTGGATTTGATCTTCTATTCCTTTCATTCACGTATCGATTCTTGTTTTTCATGCCACGAATGGATTTAGTTGTTAACACATTAAAGTCTGAATCTATTCCAATAATTTCATGTTGAGTCAATGGATTGTGTTAAGAAATGAGGATTCTTTAATGGATTTGTCGTAGCCAAGCACAATCTATCAAAAAAGGGGTGTTGGAAGGTTTGATGATCCAACTTGCAAGCACTTACATAACCGTCCATTACATACCAGTAGCCAAAGCGCAGGTAATTTTTTGTTATTTTTTATAAAATAGTTTCTATTTCTTTTACTTTTTTTTAAGTATCAATTATTTTGTATTTTCATACCATACCTCAACTTTTCAACCAATTAAAATGCATAATATTTTTTTATTTTGTGATTTTTTATAAAAAAATACAAATTATCCATTTCAAAATCAATGACTAAGATTGATAGAGGTACGATACCAAAATCGCTACTGTAGCCTCACCTTTATGTTTAAGGTTTCGCCAGCCTTTCAATTAGATTTAAGAGGTAGAGAGATGTCTGTCCGTTTCTGACATCTCTATAATCTTGTGCTTTTATAGTAGGATGTTCAAGAAGATCCACGTGTTAGTTCCTAGATTTTTTCAGTCGAATATGATTAATTTTGAAAATAAACTTTTTTGGTAGATTATCCAAGTTTAAATCCGATAATAGAGATATGGATAGTATTTGTTGACCAATTATTTAGATTCGCTAATTTTATGATCCTTGGATCCATCAAAATTATATATTTATATAACTAATAGAATGGGAATTGATTTTTTTTTTTACCAATTATCCAAATTTGAATACGATTAATTAAATACAGATTGATATGTATAACTGACTATCTAAAAATTTACCTATGCTAATGTATCATATTTAGACATATCTGATCCATTTGAATTTTATACGCATATATATATATATATATATATATCTCAAGTTAAGTAAGTGATTATTTAATAACTATTAATTGAAATTCAAATGTACTTTGTTAGAATTTTACCTTAATGGAATTTAATCGGATCATTCTATTTTTAAGACATGGATTTGGATTTAGACTTCCAAAATGAAATTTGTCCGATATTAATTTGATGGGTTAATAGTATTTTTGATCTATAAAATATGTATTTTTTATTAGTTTAGTTCTCATTATATTAATTTGGTTCATAAAATATTTAATTCGTGTCATTTTGGTCCTTGGATAGAATGATCCCATGTTGAACACGTGATATTGTCTAAAAAATGACACGCGATCACTTTCGTAAAAAAATTTGACAGATTGTCTAATTAGGGACTCAAGTGACACGAATTGAATACTTTAGGGATAAAATTGATACAATAATGATTAAACCGATAAAAAATACATATTTTAAAGACAAAAAATGCTATTATGTTAGAGAGAATATTTTATGGAATAAGGATGAGACATAAATTTTTCAAAATTTACAACACTCTTCAAGAAAACACAAGCATTTTTAATTACAATTAAGAAAAGTGGTCAATAGGCATCTTAAGGTATAGAAACTATATTTGTAAAAGTGCATATTGTATGCCATTAAAAATTAAAATAATAAAAAATAACAAAAACATAAAAGAAACAAATGTTACTTTGAAAAAACTAAAAACTCAAACTATGACTCTTATATCAATTAAATCCTTAATTGTTTTTATCAATTTAATCCCTGAACTTACTAATTGTAGAAATTGACTCATTCTGTTTGCATCAATTAGATTTTATAACGGATTTTTTACACAACTAAATGACATATTTTGTCACTTTCTGTTATAAAATCTAACAACTGAAGACAAAATAACTCAATTGCTATAATTAGTTAGTTCATTGACTCAATTGACAAAAAAATTAAAAAAAATTAAAGAGTTTAATTGACACAATGATCATAATTTGAGAGTTATATAAGTAATTTACTCAAACTAAAAACTTAAAAAAAAAAATCATAAGACTATACCTAAAAATGAATATGAGAGAGAGAGAGAGAGAGAGAGAGAGAGAGAGAGAGAGAGAGAGAGAGAGAGATTAGTGCCAGTAATGACTGCATTCTAATTTCATCTCCCACGACCAAATTGCTACGTCGAATCACATCAGCCCACGAACCAGTTAACTTGTGGGTGCAACTAACATCCCTCAAATTCATTTCTCTCTCAACGTTAGAATCAAAATCCATCACACCAAGCTTAATACTCTCATCCTCTCTTCGCAATGTTTTTCGTTGTTCATCAGACAAATGTGGAACAAGATGTGTGTCGATTAGGTTATTTGAGGGAATATCGTACTATATTCACATCATTATTTGTGAGGATCTTATGAATAGGCCACGTATCTGAATTATTATGGGGACTAAATTAAAATACTAGTCGAAATTTTACTATAAGTAGGGTGATAATTTCTAACACAACACGATTTGAACTCGATATGAAATTAGCAGGTTAGAGTTGATTATTTCTCAATACGAACCTATGAATGACACGATCTGTTAACATTAATAATAAATGAGTTGAGTTAGTGTCAAACACGAACAATACGAAATTGACACGATTAATATGTTTAATTAATATTATAGAAATAAAATGTTAATTATTTATTATTAACCATTGATATAATTATTGTACAAAAAATATTTTTATTCATTATTATTGTTATGTCTATTAAGTTAATTTTTAATTTATAAAAAAAATATGAACATGAATTCAATTAATTGATAATAAAATCGTAGACTTAAAACTTAGTGTCAAGTTCTTTATTCGAGGTTTAAATGGGTCAACATGAATACGAACACAAACCCGACAAAAAAATAAACAGGTCAATCAACATGACATGATTAATTAAATAAGTTAGGTTAGGGTTGATTAGTGTTCGACACGAACCCGTAATGATATGACACGATTGTCACCCCTAACTTCATGGGGGATTGGGATTTCCTACCTCTAATGTTGATCAATTTAATTCTTTCCCACAAAAAAAATTCCATTTTTTTTTTGAT